AGTTTTTTTTCCCCTTAATACATTAGAATTGTGGTGAGAATAAATCCTAGGGGTGTTGAACATTTCTGTAGTTTGAATTTGTAACAATACATAGACAGCAACTATTAATATTATTTTTCTCTTTGTCAAGGAATTTGCCTTGCTTAGGAGTAGGGAAAAAAAGACAAGTTTTGTCAATATACCCAGAAGAAAATACCGCAGATGTTTCCCATCCTTTTTAGGTTCAAACTAGACCCCCACTGGTTTTATCAATATTTCATGTTGATAAAAACAAATGGGGTAAAGTTGAGATTTGATCAAATTTGATGAGTTTTGTTAGATAATACACAGTAGTAGCTGTTACAAAAGCTAAATAGCTGAAAATAGCCCAAAGATACTCTGAAACTGTTTGCAGACATGCTTCTGCTGACCTCCTGATGCCGGATGGAAAGAGGATTTATATAAATGTGAATCTTTTCATCCATTTGTTTAAAAATATTAAATGATTTTAGTCAATTAAGTAGTTTTCGTGCTGTAAATGTCAGCAGTGTTTGTTTTGAAAATATAAATTATTGATTATCTGAAATGTTTCCATGGACATTTGCTAGTGAGATTTGTTTTAATTGGTACAAAATATCTCTGTAATTGGAAAACAAAAGGTTCCATTTGAGGAAAAAAAAAATATAGCTCGTAGCACAAGAATTCAAGATATAAAGTCAAGCAAATATTCTAAAGAGATGCATGAGGAAAAAGAAAGGACACATTCTGACATGCATCTAATAGTTTGATGCTAATATTTTCAGGAAGAAAGAAAGTAGAAAGCCTCCCATCATATGTCAAGTTACACAGATAATAAATTATAATTTTTGATTTACCTAATCAAATTTCAACATGTGGATTACATCTTGAATATTTGGAGGGCAACTGTATCTCTGACTTATCTTCATCTAACATAATCTGCCTTGTTTTTGATTCATGGAATCTAAACTGTTTAAAAAAGATTTATTTATTTATGCATAGAAGAACTAAGATACAGGCCAGGGGTGTTGGAGGTGAGAGGATTTACCAGAGTGGGGAGCAGAACAGGCAGTTCTACTGAAATACGCTGCTGAGGGGAGCAGCAGGCAAGACAAGAAAGGTCTCCTGTGCCATGTGGGTTAGCTCTCTGGCTGTGGATCAGACATGGGGCAGGTCATAGCTGTGACAATGCTGAGAGTTAACCCCTATGCCGCCATGGTGGCCCTAAACTACTTCTTACGGTTGGTCCTATCTGATCCCAACTTAAAAATTTTGGCAAGTCTTAGATCTGATTTCTAAGTTTCTTTTTTAACTAAAAACACTACTGCTAATTATTAACTCATCCTTTGTTTCCAACTTAAAACACAATACATCCTCAATCCATGTGCTTGAATTATTTATAAACATATAACATAAAAAGACCATCACAATCTCCTAATGTTTCCTCTTATTGTGTACTAGAATATAATCTTAAAAAATGTGCTTGAGTATTTAACTTAAAGACTTGCCTAGAGCTTTTTGATTGCCTCTATTTCTATGAATTATTAGAATTTCTATTATCTCATTCACAAGTCATCTGAAGATGAATCTTTGTAGTACTGAAAGAAAACAAACTATAATTTGAGGCCTGTGTTTAAATTCTTTACATCTTTTTTCCTACTTGTTTAATCACAAAATGTATCCCAGTTAATCATTATAATGTTATAAAACCCACATCATTATAAAAAAAAAACACAAATTTATGCTTTATGACACTAAATTTTGGGATAAATTGTTAGCAGGTAATAGATAAATGCTACAGAAATACAAGAGTTAGTATAGAAATAGGCTACTGCCGTAACCAAAATTTAAACTATGTGATTTGAATTTGTTACAGAGCAACAAGATTAGACTTGTAATTAAATCATAATATGGTTAGAAAAACCTGGAAAATAACAACTCCCATTATATAATATTGAACTAATTGAAGAATATTAACTGTAATAACTCAGAACATGAAAAATGCATGCAATTATTTGTGGACATTGCAGATGATTTACAGGGGAGGTATTTAAAAGTATTTTTGGCTTTTAAAGCTATTATGATAATATGCAAGAAAGATGAAGTGAACTCAAGTATAACAGTTTGCAAACATAGCTTAAAGAGAATGACTGATGTAGAAAATAAATTTGTTATTTATTCAAGACTTTCATATTTCAAAGAATCTTAAAGTAAGAAAGAACCATAGGGTAAAAGGGAATTTTAAAATATGACTAAACACCTATGGTTAAGATTACTGAATGTTGGTTTATTTTTGGGGGGGAGGACCCTTGCCAGTGGCTGGGATCGAACTGGCACTGCAGAGGCTGCAGGCAGCCTCGCAACCCAGCGCTTAACCACTGTGCCATCAGGGGAGGCCCAAGATTACTGAGTGTTTTAAAGTTGTTGTCATGTGTTCTTGCCCAAGATGAAAGGCTCTTTAGAATCTTAGGAACAGTGTCTTACATAGCCTGTATCCCCATCTTTTAGACATTTACCCAAAATTAATTTTGGCTATGACTGAGACTTTCAATGAAACCAGCATGTTCACAGAAATTCACTTGTTGTTAAATAAATTATATCAATGAATGTAATACCAGTTTGAAATAAGAATTCAAATGAAAAATAGGATCTGTAAGTCTCTAATATGCTATAGACAGGAAACATGTTGAAAAACATAATAAACTGCACACATGACTTATTTTTAATGGAAAATCCAGACACTATGGCAGAGATTCATAGATAATGAAATATAATCTACTTCTGGAAAAGAACTAGTTACAATAAAGTGTTGATTACTCCAGAATTGGGAATATCTGACATGTTGCTATGGAACACTGACTGTTATTTACCTCACATTTTTTCCAGTTTCAAATGTAAATGACCATTACTGTTTTTCTGCATTTTTATCATTATCATATGTTAATTGCATTCTGGAATGATAGAAGCCACAATGTGAAATCCATCTCTACATAAAATATTAAAAATATTATAAAGATTTTAGGGTCTCCCCTGGTGGCGCAGGTGGTTGAGCGCTGCACTATGAAGCTGTCCACAGACTCTGCAGTGCAGGTTCAATCCTGGCCTGCTGGCGAGGATCCCACATGGTGTGGCAGACCTCTCCTGCTGCACCTGCTGCTCCCCTCAGCAATGTATTTCAGTCAGTCTGCCTGTGCTGTTCCTCACTCTGTCTCTGGTGATTCCCGTGCATCTGGCCTGTACCCCTGTTCTTGTATAAATAAATCTTATTAAAAAAAAAAAGATTTTAGACTCAATATCTGGCCTATGTTGGAATGAGACATTGAAGAGTATTAGCAGTCTAAAAGTCACATTTTCCTACTTTTCAGTTTGAATATTGCCGATGTTCTTTCTGAGTGGTCTTACAGCAACAGGCATAAGATTGTCCATACATGAGTTGTTGTGTGAGTTTCTCCAATGTTTATATATCAAAGCTTTAGATTTTAGATTCAATATCTTGCCTATGCAGGGATGAGACATTGGAAGTATTGGGATTCCACATGTTTATTTTTTTAAGTAAGGAGACATAAATCTTTTAGAAAGAAATTATTGTAGATTAATTTGTGTTAGCTTTTCCCTCTCAGTTGGTTAGAAATGCCTGCAGTCTAGGGCCACCCTGGTGGTGCAAGGGGGTAAGTCTTAGCATTATAAAGCTATCCGAGTTTGATCCCTGGCCAGTGAGCTGACCCACATGGTGCAGGAGATCTCTCCTGTCTCATCTGCTGCTCCCCTAAGCAGTATATTCTGTAGATCCTCCTGTTTTGCTCCCCACTCTGTCTCTGGAGAATCCTCTCACCCACCACCCTGAACCTTTGGCCTACACCCCAGGTGTAGCATAAATAAAATAAAACATGCATAAATATGCCAAAATAAAATATGCATAAGTAAATAAAATAAATCTTAAAAAAATGCTTGGGTTCACTCATCTGGAATCCAATGAGCTTTCCATATTCACCTCCCTTTTCTCAAGAATGGATTGGCCGTTGAGCTTCTTATAATGCAAGGTGCCCTTCAGCAATAGCCACCAGAAAATTTAAAAAAAAAAAAAAAGGTATAGGTTTATTGCTTTCAGGATCTGGAAATTATAGAGGACTTTTAGGGCTACACACTGAGGGCCATGTAGAAAAACACAGTACACAGGGCATGGAGTTCGTTTCGATTGGCTTCAAGGGTGAGGCCCTTATGTTTCATGGATTTACTTTATTCATAGATAAATTTAAAACATGAGAATGTAAATTTAAACCTTGGGAAGAGAAAATGACCCACCTGGTGAAATCAACACCTCTCTGAGTCTCGCTAGAGGAATGTGGCCTGGCTCTTTATCATTGTGACAAGCAATATGCTTATTTGAGATAATGTTCTTTGAAGTGGATGCCTTGACAATTAAAACAAAGTCAAGCACTTGCATTACAAAAAGAGAAAAAATAAAATCAGCACTTAAACTACAATTCACCCTGTGATGCCCACAGCGTCACAGTCAGTGGTGAAGAATTTAATTGCTGGGAACTCTTGTGTTAAAAGGTAGGAGCAGGGCACTTTGAAATTCAGAAAGCATGTATCTAAATAGAATTATAGTAGTAAATTCCATGATAATTATAGAGGCAATAGTATAAAATCCATTCTGTAGCTATCATCCAAGACTTGAAGGGTCCTGTAATAATAGGTCAGCAATCTTGGGGAACACTTTGAATCTGTTTAATGGTTTGAATAATATTGAGTGATGAGGGGAGCAATGGGCAAGAGAGGTCTGCCGGGTCATGTGGGTATCTCCCTGGCCAGCCAGGAATCAAACCCATGCTGCAGAGGCTGCAGACAACTTAATAGTACTGCACTGAACCATTGTGCCACTGGGGAGGCCTGGTTTGACTTTGATTTTTATGTATGCTATGAGCTAGATATTTAGGGTTTTAAAGATAATTTTCAAATAATCACCATTGATTAAAAGTACCTTTTTTTTTTTTTTTCAGGGCACTGCAGCAGCCATCATATTGCAACACAGATAAAGGTACATTTCTAGTTTTTTTTTTTTTTTTTTTGGTCTGTTTTGTTGATTCATCTGTTTATCATAATTCCAGACTGTGTATTATTTATAATTTATAATGCAAGATCTCCAAATTTCTCATTTCTCCAAGATGTCCTTGTCTCTTCTTGCACTTTTGCACTTCAATATGCTTATCAGTTTAAACTTGCTAAATAGGGCCTCCCCGGTGGCGCAGCGGTAGAGCGCTGGGTTGCGAAGCTGCCCGCAGCCTCTGCGGCGCCGGTTCGATTCCCGGCTGCTCCCCGGCCACCGGAGGAGGGTCCCACATGGTGCGCAGACCTCTCCTGCCGCCCGCTGCTCCCCTCAGCAGTGTACTTCGGTCCTTCTGCCTGTTCTGCTCCCCGCTCTGGCTCTGGTGAATTCTCTCACCCTCCCGCGCTTCTGACTGTGCCCAGTGCATGTATAAACAAAAACAAATGAACAAACAAATAAATAAATAAATAAAACATGCCTCTATTAAAAAAAAAAATAAAAATAAAAAAATAAATAAATAAATAAATAAATAAACTTGCTAAATAAATACTTGAAATTTTATGACTATTGCTTTGAATACATATCAACTTGGGGATAATTGCTGTATTTGTAATAATGAATTCTATAATACATATCTGGTATATTTCACCATTTAAGTCTTTTAAAATTTTTAGTAATTTACATTTCTATTGGTAGGGCAGATGTAAAGGTAAATATTTCATTGTAAATATTTCATTGTAATTATTATATTATGCTAACATAATGAAGTCATTGAAATGTCATTGTCTGAATTTTTGCACCACAAATTGAAATAATGTGTTTTTTATATTGACCTTGAGTACAACATCACTGAATGTATTTCCTCATTATAAATTTAATTTACATTTTCTCTGCTTCTTGCAAATGTTTCTCCCCTTCTAATCTGTGTTTGATTTTTTTTTTTTTTTCTGACTTGTTACTCCAGTACACCATTAAACGGTTGCAAATAGATATCTTTAACCTTAAGGAAATAATTTTCAATGTCTCCCCTCTACAGATGAGTTTAAATGTCACTCTTGCAGATGTTCTTTATAAAATTAAGGAAATTTTCTGAGATTCATAGTTGTTTAAAAAATTTGTCATAATGAATTTTATCTAAAAGCTTTTCATGGTATCCTTTGAAGTGATCATATGTTGATTCTGTATATGTGGTGGTAAGTTGCATTGCCTGATTTGCAAATATTATATACATCTCATTTTTCTGTAGGAATGAAAGACTTTGTTGTGATATATTTTAATCAATTGCTATATTGCATCCCCTCATTTTATTGAGGAATTTTGATTCTGAGAAAATTTGCCTATAGTTTTTCTGTGCTTGGTGTGTACTATGGTTCAGTGAAAAGTAATTGGAATTTTTTTTATTCTGTTATCAGAAACAATGCCATTTCATTTAATTTAAATTATTTTCTATTGCTTCTCTATCCTCACTTATTCATGTGAGGTCGTATTACCTATACTTTGTGAAAGATTATTTGAGTATTTACTTCAAGTTCTTGATTCTTTTCATTGAAGAATTTGGTATGATTCATCAAATTCATTTTCCTTTCACAATTATTTAAGCTTCAGGCTGAAAAAAATGTCTTTAATTAGTCAATCTATTAAGTTTAAATATGGAACTCAGTTTTCAATGAAGACATGAAAAATATTATTGTAAATGAAGACAGAGTGAATATATAAGTGATTATGGTTTTATAATTCTCCAGCTCTGATACATTATGCATGAAAGTATATTTTTATATACTGGCAAAGTTAGCTTAATAATTGAGTGGAAATACGTTTAAATTGATTTTTTTTAATAATTGCTTCTTTTCCTATATTCTCTTGAGTTATTTATATATTTAAAAATATTATTCCATATTAGCTACTATTTTAGAAACTGCTTTTTACTCACTCTTCTTAAATGCTTGACCTAACTCATTATAATCGGCTTATAATAATTTATATTGTCATTAACAACCGATTGCATTGTAGTTCCATTTGCCTTCCCATTTGTTATGCTACTTTTGTCATAAATTTTCTTTCTGATAATGAATACCTTACAACTTTATAAAATAATAATATTGTGGTTATTGTCTTAGTAGTCTATATTCATTAAATTATTTAAAAATAGACTCGAATTATAATTAGATTTATCATTTCTAATCTTTATTTTCTATGTACAAATTCAATTTCCACTTTTACCATGGTCTTTCAGTAAAAAATATTTTACTCAATATTTCTTAGTGTAGATTTTTTGACAATAAATTCTATTTCTTCTGTGTCTAAAACATCTCTGTTTCAGTCACGTATTTGATGGATATATTCTAGGTATAAAATACTTAGTTTTGACAGTTTTTATTTTTCCTTTCATAACTTCAGTAGTGTTCGATTGTTTCTGACCTATGTTGTTCCTGATTAGAAATCCACCATCAATCTCATTGTAGTTTCCCTGTATTTGATAACATTTTTTTTCTTGGTATTTTAAAATCTTCTCATTGTTTTCAGCATTTTAACTAGATGGTCTTTGGCGTAATTTCCTTTATCCTATTCGATATTTTTAAAAAAATCTTAGTTTTTACGCTGATATTTTGATAGCATTTGGAAGTTCAGGGCCATGTATAATTTTTTTTTTTTTCTGTTCTACTTCTTTCATTTTAGAACTCTTTATGAATGTGAAAGTACAGCACAAGTCAATATGTATTTCAGCATATATTTTATTCATTTCTACATTTTCCTCGGCCTTCCTCTTTCCAATTAGACTTTTAAGGGAGTATTCTATGTCAGATTCTTCATTTCACATTCCCAAATTTTTCTTACCTCAAAACTCTATAAGCTGTCTTTAGCACAAATTAGCAATAAATGCATGTTTGAGGTTATAGTCTAAATAGGACAATTGCAAACAACAAAGAAGTGCAAAGATTTTTGCCACTAGACCAATCTTCACAGGGCATCATCTACTGACACTTCTATTACTCCCTGTAGAGCACAATCATACTTGGTTATCAAGCATTGAAATCTGTCTGCTCTGTATAAATTTATCCTAAAATGAATCGTGCAGTTTTATTCTCCATGTAAGCCACTGACATATCACTCAATACAGAACAGAAGGTCCATGTGAACTGCGATAAATTATTGTTGTCATTATTTTCCCATATATTTATTATTTGGTCATCTAACCAACATTTTTCAGAGGTGCTTAATATCTGCAGTATATTACCACAACTTGATGAAAGGAGATGTGACTTTGAGTGTATTGGTTTAGTTATACTTACAACATCATGATTGTTTGCATCTCAAACACAGAAGCTAAAGAAAATTTAAGACAAAATAATTTATATGAAATAATCAAGAATAACCAGTCACCCTAGCTAATGGAGTCCTAACCAAAGCTGTTAAATTCCCGGGAATAGGGATTTGTGGGATATCATAAGAAATATACATCAAAAAGTCCACAATAAGTTACTGTCTTGTCTAACCTAATAATAAAAATACTTTTTTTGGTAGATATTTTAGGTTTCTGAATATACTATACATATTAATTGAGTTAATCTTATTAACTGAAGTGTTTAGAGAGATACCGAGTTTAGAATAGAGTGGAATCACTGGCTTTGAGATAGTTGTTGATGAGAAGGGCCAAAATTATTTGCTGTTAACTTATCATGATTTTATAATCCCAGCACTGTGATCCAAACATAAAAATAATTTTGAAAATGTCTGTTACATGGATGTATTCTGATTATGGTATCAGAAGTATCTGTACAATATCTAATACTGTCTCAGTGACAATCATTAGGGCTTGTCAGTAGTTCTTATTTCTTGTATTTTAGTATTAGTTATTTTAACAGGTTTGAGTTGATAGCTAATTGTTTTTATTTGCATTCCCCTAATGGTTAGTGAGGCTATCTTTCCATGTACCTATTGGCAAGAATGTGGAGAAAAGGAAAACCTTTGGCACTGCTGGAGACAATGCAAATGTATGCTTCCACTTTAGAAATTAGTATGGAGGTTCCTCAAAAAATACAGAATCATCATATGATACAATACTGTTTCTCATATGATATAATACTATTTCTGAGTATTTACCAAAGAAAGCAAAAACAATAACAAAAAAGATAGTTGTACTCCATGTTCACTGAAACATAATTTAACAACAAAGATATGAAACATCCTAAGATATGAAACATTGTTTCCATCAGTGGAAACACACACATTCACTCTACAATATTATTTGATCATAAGAAAGAGGGAATCTTGTCTTGTGACAACATCAATGATCTTTGAGGGATTACACCAAATGAAATAGATAAGCCCAAGAAAGACAAATACTATATGATTTTACTTATCTATGTATAATCTAAAAACAAAGCACCAAATTCTTAGTTACAGAAACAGATTTACACTTGCCCAAGGTAGTGGCCATAAGTAGGTGTAATGTTGAAGGTACAACAGGTACCTTTTTAACTATAGTTAATAACACTGTATCACATATTTGGACCTTACAAAGACTAAAACTTGAGGCTGGTGACAGTTACTCTAGTGATCATACCACTTTATACCAGTGAAAATGACCCACATCAAAAACAAAACAAAACAATAAAACACAAAAAAGTTATGCAAGCTGTGGAGAAAAAGGAACCCTCATAGAATCTTAATGGGTGTTTTCTAAAAACAATAGGAAGTTTCTTCAGAATATTAAGAATAGAAATACCTTATGATTCAGCAATTCCAATAGTAGGTATTTATGTGAAGAATACAAAATCACTAATTCAAAGGGATTTATCTACTCCTGTATTCATTTTAGCAGAAATTACAGTAGTCAATTTATGGAATTAACCTAAATGCCCAATGACAAAGCAGTGGGTTAAGAAAATTATATATATATATAATACTACTTAGTTATATAGAAAGATGAATTCTTGCCATTTGTGACAAAATGGATAGAACTCTACAGAGTGTATTATGTTAAGAAAATA